ACTGCCTCTTTAAAAATTATTGTAAGCCATAAACAATGTGTATAAATTAACACCAATGATACAACATATTGAGCAATTAGCAACCGCCAGGGCATCACTATGTGGTTCCTAAAGAGTGGTTTGCTATATGTTGCTAAGGTGTCTTGGATGGGTGAGTCCAATCCAAAGTCTCTAGAAATATGGTTTAACCCTTCCTTCTATGTTAAGTTTTCTAATTAGTTTTTAATAAGTGTTTTTTTCCCAGTAAAAATGCATCAGTTTATGTGTAAAATAAAAAATAAGCTTAGAAGCAACACAGCAGAGCATATTAAGACTTTTTTCTCAAAAGTGTATTTTTAATTTATCATTTTAAAATGAATTTATACTTAACACAAGTGTACACACATCTGTGATAAATAAAGAAGATTAAATGAACTAATTGAAATATGCATTCTCTAAAAAGAAGTTGTATGTTGCAGGAATCATGTGGTTAATGTCAAATGCAAAACCGAAAAACAATGGAAAACACTGCAATGTGAACATAATGTCATCATGTCAGTGACCAGATCAGTGATACCATTTTAATGACTTGGTCACTCTTTGTAATGATTTTTAAAAGCGTGTCTAAATGAAAATATAAAAAAAGCCTAGCCACAAGCTTAATATTATTTCCTTTTGCTACACTTTTAAAAACAAAAGTTCTTTGCATTGTTGGTTCTACGAAAAACATTTTCCAACTTTCCATTCTGTTAAAGTTTCTTAGTGCAGTTATTACGTATAATTTAAATGGTGCAGTATGAGTTATGAATCAAAGTTTTAACAAATCCTTAATACGAAATATGCACATTAGCAATAGGCCTCCCAATATACTATTCTCTCTCCCTCTTGCTCAGTGTCTCCAGATGTACAAGGCTGACAGATGATGTGACTCTGTTCGTGTTCATTGTCAGCTTTTTCCACCATTCGTTCCAGCTGGGAGGAAGAGGACTCAAAGCTCAGAGTAATAGCAGCTCCTGTATTACTTTTTGCTATAAACTCATCTTAATTCACAGTACAAAACATTGACATACGGTTCTCAGTTATATCTCATGGGCAAAAACACTCTATTAGAATGTACTTTTTCCAAATAGTAACAACTTTCTACAGTTTGTTAAGAATATGAAGACAATTAGTGCAAAAAATTATTATTATTGAAGATTATTAGGAAGCAAATGTTCTTTAACATGTGATAGAACAATAATGAAATGCTTATTTTGTGTGAGACTGAACCAGAAACCGTCTTTATCTATTTTCATCTATTTCTCTATGCACAAACCAATCATATCAGCAAAATCAGTCCACTCATTTCAGCAGATTCCCAAACATGACCAAGGGCCAATTTCAACTCAAACTTTACAAGCTACAAAGCATTTGCAAAATTAACAACGATAGTTAATCTGCCCACATTCATTAATGGAATCATAAATGCAACACATCTGGCAACATTCATTCATTCCCCCGTGTTTGACTTCTCTCCGGCTGTGTGGTCATAGAACTAACCATAACCTAACCTGCTTTCAGCCCAACAGAGCAAGCTTCTGTGTGAACCAGGTTTACCTCTTTACAGAACGGCCCACGAAACCCAAACACGGCTACAGGTAAATGAAAGAGTTGACTGGGGGGGGGGGGGGGGGGGGGGATAAGCAGCTTTCAAGTGAGGCATCTGTTTCTAATGTTGGCGCTCTGGTGTGGATTACAGGGAAGTATTGCCGGGGAACTGACGGTGACCCCATATCTTCATCCCAAGGGAGATGGTAAGTAGTGATGAGAGCGCTGGATTGGGTAGAGAACCAAAATGAAAAAGACCCCCTTGTTTACAGTCAGCTTGCTTCTGCATTTCTTTAGGCTCTTTTTCCAATAGTACAATATATTGCTTTTCATACTAGACACTCCAAAGGAGGAATGCAAAAAAATAATAAAATCAGCTGCAAATATCTCCCAGGTGCTGCTGCCACCATGAAGCTGCACCATGTTGTAAAACACAGTAAACGGTCTATTTTAATCTTCAAAGGAGAACTCAACAACATGTTTTATCACATTAAAAAAAGATAAGGAAGCAGGTTCTCAGCAAGCCATTCAATTTTATGACTCCATCTAAACACACATGTTGAGGAAGTTCTGTGGAATTTTAACATAAACAAAACCAGGGGGAAAAAAATATGTGCACTTCCTCACTACAAGGCATGATAAAAGAAGGCAAAGCTGTAGGATATAGAAAATATTTCATATAATACTCATGGCAAATCATGGTAGTGTAGACAAACAATACAGCGAATGCATAACACTGTAACACTTAAAGGGATAGTTCACGCAAAAATGAAAATCTACTAACTATTTACTTCTCCTTACTCTGTTTTTTTCCATTGAACACAAAAGAAGATATTCTGAAAAATGTTTAAATCCAGTGTGTAGGAATAGTAAGAAAAAATAACTCTATAAAATAACTTTTTTTGTTCAATAGGCAGGTATGGGTCTGAATAAATGATGACAGAAATTTCAGTTTAAAGTGAACTATCCCTTTAATTCTGTTTAAGTAGCCTCAGTGTCTTTATAGAGCCAAAAGCAAACAGATTCTCAACTGCAATAAAAACATGATGAAAACTTTGTTAAATAAGTACTGAGAAATAGTTCTGCGTGTTAAAACTTTTCTTTCAACACCAAAGTAAATTAGCAAAACTAAAAAAACTCATATCTATGAAACAAAAACTAGTCACAACACCATATGTAGAGTTCGCAAGGTAAAAAGAGAGATACAAAATGCAGCCAGTGCATACTGGATATAGAGAATATTTCATAATACTCATGGCAAATCATGGTAGACAAACAATACAGCAAATGCATAACACTTTAATATTTAAAAGGATAGTTCACGCAAAAATAAAAACCTACTCACTATTTACTTCTCCTCAAGTGGTTCCAAACCTTTTTTCAGGTACTAAAAATAGCCCTGCATGGTAAAACTTTTCTTTAAACACCAAAGTAAATTAGCAAACCAAAATAAACTCATATCCATGAAACAAAAACAAGTTGAAACACCATTTTTAGTGCTTACAAGTAAAATATTTAATTCAAAAAGAGAGATACAAATCAAAAAAACGCAGTTCATAGGAAATGATCATAAGATATACTGTACACTAGATATAGCATACGAACCCTGAGCATGCGTTAATAGCGCTGCAACATTTGTACAATATTCCTAGGACAAATGTCATTCAACCGGACTTAGTCAAGACTAAAGCCAATGTGAAGATGCTGGACTTTTGCGCTGCATATGCGTGTAGCGATGAGCAAACAAAGAAAACAAAGTATACAGGCATCCCATTACATAGGTAAGATTTTGCTTTTCACGTTTTTGTATGTTACAAACTTTTGTGCTAATAAGTATTGATGATAAAACAGTCCCTTACTGCTCTGACCATAAGGAAAAGTAGCACCAACTCACACTGAATACTAGGCTTATGCAAGTTTTGTTGAATAAAATAAGCAAACAATGTAAATGAAATATGACAACAAGATGCTGCGGTGCCAGAAACTTGTATTATTGTCTGCTAAGTGAACAAGCCATTCATAACAGGGACTCAATCACAAACGAATCACTCCCTCTGTTAGAACGAGAAGTGAAAGCAGGAGAGGAGGTGTGTTTCAGGACACAGATTATATCAAATTTAACAGGACAATACATTTCCATGAACACAAATACACGCTCTTTGTCAAGAATGCCTGTGCGATCACGTATCCATCGACATAGAAAAGTGATGTAAAATTATAATTTTTGTAATGTAAAAAAATATTTGCATACTGGCCACCGGGATAACTGCCGATCATAGATATATGCATATATCTATGACTCTGGATGGCCAGTCCTCCACTGCTACCCTGTACTAAAACGGTGGCTCTATTAATGCATTCTAGAGCTGCATTTTGAGATGAGAATCGTGATTTTTTTTGCTCAAAATAAAGATCACGATTTTCTCATGATTCTGTAGATGTAAAATAAAGGTATGGTAAAAACAAACATATGGCAACATCGATAATAATATTATGTGTGGTCTACTGGTTTTTATAAATAATTCTATTCTACTTATAATAATTATGATGTTGAATTATTATGTTTGAGATATATGCTTGCAATCTGTCGTGTTAGACAAATTTATTCACTGGTAAAATCAGACATTTGCCATTATCAGATTATATTCAACAATATATAGGCTATACTGACATTGTAAACATTTATTTTCATGCACAACTGTGGGTTCGCTATGAAAGAAAAAACATATCAAATGCTTGCCGTAATCATAACTCTAAAATGCGATATGATCATTTAAATGAAGTGCACACTTTCGGTTTCATTTTGACTGCTAAGTGCTTGTTCATACTTCGCACGCGGCTCCCAAACGATCACTCTGTGCCACAAACAGAATATTATTTGCAACTGTATTACCTGTTATTCGCAACATATGCAGGTTCTGTTCACTAAAGTAGACGTGCGCGCTTCCATCATTAAGTAGAGTGCACGCGCGGTCACGGTCAGCAGCTTACGTCATGTGTGATTTCCCGGCCGCGAAAACATCATTATATTAAGACAAAAATGACATTTTTAGGTGAATGATACCTTATAAATACAGTATGTGACTCATTCAACATCATTTGGAGGTGTCAATGTCACTGAGCAATGTATGTGAAACAATAAAAAGACTCGTGCAGCCGCCTTTGCTTCTCCCCTGAACTTAAAAAAAAATATGATTGGCCGAATCGTAGAAATGCTGGATTAAGATCCTCTAGGGGGTCGAATCGAGATCGCGATCTTTTAACGATTAATTGTGCAGCTCTAATGCAATCCTTCCAATAGGCAACAATAGCGTAGGTGACATCTAATGTAAATATCTATGAGGCACAAGAATCTTGATCCAGCCAAAATATCCATTCAGAAACCAAAACAAAGCAATGATTCTGATAAAGGGATGACAAGATCAGCACCTTACCTATAGTATCTAGATTGCAGGTAGGTGGAGCACACCGCTTTGGAGACGTGACTAGCAGATCCGAAGTCGATCACCTTGACCCTGTAGGGTTGGCGGGCTGGGTCTACAAGCATGATGTTCTCAGGCTTCAAGTCAGCGTGGATCAGTCCTAGGCTCTTGAGCTTCATCAGGGCAGTGGCGACCTGCTGCAGGATCGGTCGGATGTACTTGAGCGGCAACGGGCTGAACTTGTTCTGTTTGAGGAAGTCGTAGAGGTTCTGCTCCAACATCTCGAAGACCAGGCACGTGTGGTTCTTGTGCTGGAAGCACTCGTACGCTCGAACGAAGTTGTAGTCGTCCGCACTCTCCGTGCTCAGCCGTGCCAGTATGCTCACCTCAATCTGGCCCTGCCTCGCATAGGAAGGGTGGTTCTTCAGGATCTTGATGGCCACGATCTCACTGGTGCCCCGTTTCCAGCACTTCACCACTTGCCCGAATGTCCCTCGACCCAGGAACTCCAGCACCTCGTAGGTGTTGGTCATGGAGCACAGCACTTCATGTTGTAGGAGCTGATAGTCGCCCTCGCTGTTGGCTCCACTGTTCTTGGATGTGGCCGTGGTGGAGGCGGTCGCGGTCGCGACGGTGGCCCCGCTCTGCACGTTGTTCTGGATCATGGGTGCCGGCGGCTGCTGCTCCTCAACCACATGCACACTACTCCCACTACCACTGCCGTTGTTGTTGTCAAGTTCCTCACTTTTGCGCTTAAGCCCGCATCGCTGGTAGGTGTCCAGCAGACTGACGGTGCTGCGGCGCGTCAGGTTATGGCCTCCGCTGCCGCTTCCGCTGCTACCAGTGCTGCCCAACAGTTGACCAGCTGCCCCAGACGTGCTGCTGGCTGAGGCCACAACAATGTGCCCCGAGCCGGCCGGGAAGAGTAGGGCCTGTTCGTATGACAGGGAAGAGTTGGAGACCTGGAGACTGGCGCCGTTGATGCCCACAGGGGCGACTGAGACACTCTGCTTGCTGTTCTGACTGTAGACCTTGCTGTGCGTGCCGTACCCTGTCATATCCCAGTTGCAACTCTGCTCCACCTTCAGTTTCTTCACGCTAAAGAAGGCACTTGACTGGAGAGTGTGAGGGGAGAAGACTTGCACTTGCGAGGCCATACCTGAAGGAAGAGAGAGGGAGAGGGAATGTGAGACTTGGATTGAAACTTGAGTATAAGCTTTAAATAAAAATCCTACAGGTCATGGCAGGCCAGTTTAATAGAGTCAGAGTCCAGATGCTAACTTATAAAATAGCCGCTGTACAAATACCTTGCACACTTTTGATTTGATTGCTCAGCAGTGTTGAGACTTGAAACCAAAGTTGAAGGAGTCAGCTTCAGGGCAGCACCTGGACTGATTTCACCACATATATACGCATATATATTTATGAACATTTCTACATAAAGTGAATCCACGTGGTGAGAAAATCCACACATGCACATGTATTTTTCCAGTAAGGTTTGTGGCTACTCCTGTAGCAAATCCAGCTTTTTTTGTAAAACCTTGACAAATTAAATGAAAAATATTTTCAGAAGAACATTCCTGACAAAAATTTTTTAATACGCTTGTGTTAACCTGTATAATTTGAATATGTATTGATATCCTTTAATTATTGATTCTTTACTGTCCCCACAGACTTTCTATAAAAACAAATGTACTACGCATGTAAGGACCACCAAAAGTCATGGTCATTTGCGTGAGTCTCAAGGAATGATTGCAATTTCCCCCACAAAAAAATGCAGCCTATGCATGAAACGCATTGCGGCGTTAACCTCAGAGAGATGCACATCACTTTTCCAGAGGCATTTACAAAACAACAAGAGAGCACTTAAACCTGAAACATCTGAATAACATCTCAACATTAGATCCTCAAAACAAAACAACAGAAGCAGAACTGAGGGGGATTTGTGCTTCTGGGAACTCAGAAAGGACAACGCTTCTTGAAGCAAACAACAGTCCAGAAATAGCCGTCACGAACAGCACAGTTTGTAGTGCTAAAATAATGATTACAGTTCGGAGAGGATTACATTCAGCGTGTGCTGTAATGCACTATTTACAGAATCTCCAAAGTGGCCTGAATTAGTGCACTAGGAAATAAAAAGGCTGCAATTCTCACCACACATGCAGATCAGCTCGCAAATAAACCGCTCAAAAGAACATCTTAATTTCATAATCTGCCTTAAATATGAATGAAAAAGTATCTCTGAGGCTCAAATATACAAACAGTGTTTTACCATTTTCTGCTAGTCATACAGTTGAAATCAGAATTATTTATTTAACACCCTTTGAATTTTTTTTCTTTTAAATATTCCAAATGATGTTTAGCAAGAACATTTTCACAGTATGTCTGATAATATTTTTTCTTCTGGAGAAAGTCTTATTTGTTTTATTTTGGCTAGAATAAAATCAGTTTTAATTTTTTAAAAGCCATTTTAAGGTCAAAATTATTAGCCTTTTTAAGCTATATTTTTCTAAATTATACGGAACAAACCATCGTTATACAATAACTTGCCTAATTACCCTAACCTGCCTAGTTAACCTAATAAACCTAGTTACGCCTTTGCATGTCACATATAGCTATATAGAAGTGTCTTGAAAAATATCTAGTAACATATTATTTACTGTCATCATGGCAACGATAAAATAAATCAGTTATTAGAAATGAGTTATTAAAGCTATTATGTTTAGAAATGTGTTGAAAAAAAATCTGCTCTCCATTAAACAAAAATTGAGGAAACGAAAAAACGGGGGCTAATAATTCATGTAAGCTAATAATTCTGACTTCAACTGTATATAATATTTATACATTATAAAATATGCTATGTATGTATGGAAATATGGATGTTTCCCAAAGATTTCCCAGAGGGTTGCGGCTGGAAGGGCATCCGCTGCGTAAGAACGTGCTGGATGAGTAGGCGGTTCATTCCTCTGTGGCGATCCCGGATTAATAAAGGGACTAAGCCTACAAAAAAATTAAATAAATTATTACATTAAAATAAAATAAAACATTACAGAAACTAAAGTTGTGTATTCTATCATTTGAACCAGACAGGCTTAGCCTACATTTATTGTGTTATGATTATCAGCGATCAAGCGGCTGCAGATCAATAACGGACTACAAATTCTTCATTACATGACCTACATATACTGTCATGCACCACACACACCTGTTCAGGATCACAATTGATTACACAGACACAGCCGGATGACCAATATGAACCATTTACATGGACTATACACAAAGCACACACGCACACATCAGTGCTGAGTCTTGTTATCTGTTTTTGTGACATTATAACTCGTTTTCATTGCCTTGTCATGTAAGACCCTTGCCTTGTTTTATTGTTTACTCCGGTCTGCTTCCTGCCTTTTGACCATCTTCCTGTTGTATGACCACGATGCTGGATTTGTCTGTATACATCTAATTGCCCCTGTGTTGACCGTTGCTTGCCAGACCATTCTCCTGTATTAAACCTTCATTTGGATCCGCACTCCTTTGTCAGCGTCCTTCACATTACACATTGAATATGCATAAAATTACGTGAATTCGCAGTGTTATTAGACATTTGTCATTAGAATAATGTCATCGTTCGCCGCCAAACTTCTTGCTGCTATTCCCCTGATGCTGAGCAAAGATAGCCATTTCTGAGCAGCACCTAGTTTGCATGATTGTTTCAGAGCTAGGCCTAAATAATAATAATAATAATAATAATAAATAACATAATGATGAGTAAGTGATGTCAAATTCTCATGTTTTCAGTAAAAGCTTTAAAAATGTTGTCCCTAGGGCTTTAAAACCCTTATAGCTGAAATACTTTTATGATTCTTTCTGACCTTTTTAACCCACGTTTGGGATAACCATAAACTGTCACCATAAAAACGTTGAATGTTCCATGGAAAAACAGTAAAAAAGGTTTGTGATGACATTATGACAGCCTGACCGGAATATATCATCCCTGCAAATTATATACAATGGATCTCTTATGATGTTTTCCACACAAACGAACATCTACTGTATAAGACAAACCGCTTTTCCTTTGTGGGCTCATCTTACAAACAGATAATGAATCTCATTTAGTTTCAGGAATTCCTTGACGCAACACAATTGCCAAGACAGGAAAACATAGAGGAAACTTACATGAACACTTCATCATTGTCTTGATAGTAACAATTTAAAAATGACCTTCCTGATTCTCTGCTTTCGTTTACTTAGATTTGACAGTGTCGTTGAATGATTTCAATCTGGCTTCGGCTTTCCAGTGCAGGAATTCTTGGGGTTTTAAAAGTCGATTACACACTCAAAAGATGCTGACTGTACAATCTACACAGCATATGCATTCACAATCCATATAAATCCTAACCTATATGCAGTGTTCATAATCTATCCCATACAAACCAAAACAGCACACACTATGTTGAATTTATACAGACCAAATGCATCATTTATTTACCACAGTATCTTCACATGAGATAATATACATTTTATAATTTAAATAGAACTTCCCAGGCAATTTAATGATGGAGCTAGCAATGAGGAACATCCGCTATTGCTATTAGGAGCAAGGGCCCTATGTTAATCCCATAAGCTACTAGGCCAGATGTCACTCCTTGGATTATGCTTTTCTTTGCCAGCTCTTTAAGCTAAAAATAATTTGTACATGGTCAGTGGCTCTCTGTCTGTCTGCCTCTGTGTGTGTGTGTGTGTCTGTGTTTGTCAGAGGTAGGGATGGAGCCTGGAAAGTAATAAATCTCCTGTAGCATCGGCTGTAGCATCAGTTGGATCGTCCCTGGAATTCTTTGCGTCAGACATGAGTGGTAATCTAGTCTGGAGGACAGCTGATGCTTTAGATTACCCCAGCGCAACAACTCCACTACTCATCACGGCTAAGTTATGAGTGTTTTTGCCACGAATTGGTCTAATCGAGTCCCACCCAGTATCAGGTTATGCTCATCATTGCATTATGGAAGGGACAGAAATTACTATTACAGAAACTACATCCTCCTAGTCAACGTTTCAACCGGTCTGAATGCTTTTGAAAGTTCCTGCATTTGAATTAAAGGGATAGTTCACCCAGATTTTATCTTAATTCTGTTGAACACAAATGAAAACATTCTGAGGGATAAATAGGGTAAAAAGCCAACATCTATGGTCAAAAAAAAAAAAACTGTGGAGGTCAATGACTGTTTTATTTCCAAAATTCTTTTAAAATAGTTTAAAGTTTAATTTTTGCTGATTTAGTCCACTTGGGTCCCTCTGAGAATCGTAAGGTCTTGCCAGATTATGCTCATCATCACATCATGAAAGGAACAGAAATTCAGGTCTACATCCACCTAGCAAAAGTTTCAACCAATCAGAATGCCTTTGAAATTTCTTTCATTTGAATTAAAAGGATAGTTCAACCAAAAGTCTAATTTTACTTTCCATTTTCGTTTTGTGAATTTCTTACTTCTGTTGAACACAAATAAATATATTCTGAAGAATATTCTGTTAAAAAAAAAAAAAGCCACTAATGCCTATATTTAGAACATAAAACACAGTGGAGGCCAAAGTCAAAGTTTGAACCAATCAGATGGACTACAAGAGCTAAATTTTTTTTTTTTTTTTGCTGATTTAGTCCAATTGGGTCTCACTGAGTATCGTAAAGTCTTGCTAGATTATGCTCATCCTCATATCATGGAAGAAACAGAAATTCACGTCTGCATCCTCAGCCAAAGTTTGAACCAATCAGATGGACTCATTTATTCATTCATTCAATTAATCATTCATTCATGCGGATGCCTTTCCAGCCGCAACCCATCTCTAGGAAAATCAGATGGACTCATCAAGGCTAATTTATGTTTTTTTTTTTTGCCAATCTAGTCCAATTGGGTCCCACTGAGTAATGTAAAGTTTTGCCAGATTATGCTCAAAATCACATCAACGAAGGAACAGAAATTAACGTCTACGTCCTTCTAACCAAAGTTTGACCCAATCAGAATGCCTTTGATATAAGGGATAGTTCACCCAAAAGTCAAATTTTACTCTCGATTTCGGTTTTGTGAATTTCTTCTGTTGAACACAAATAAACATATTCTGAACAATATTCAGGTAAAGAAAAGCCACTAATGCCCATAGTCAGTA